GTTGATGCCCGTTCCGTCCTCAAGAGTATCCTTCCGTGGTCTTAATGGTCTGCCCCTACTCCTTTTCCCATTCGGTTGGCAGTTGTGGAGGATTTTTGGCATTCTTTCTTCCGGCATTCTCATTCAATGTTCACGCCAATTCTTAGTACGTCTGTTTTTTCAGTTAGGTTGAAAATCTTTAATTCGTCTCTCATGTCCGAGTGCCTTTTATGGTCCAGTATTGAATAGCGCGCCAAAGGTCTAAGAAATCTCATTTCTGTGGATTCTATTTTCTTCTTATCTGTTCTAATGAGCGCCTAATTTTTACATCCGTAGGATGTCATTGGAAGTGCCATTTTTTTGTAAAATTTGAGTTGAGTGACTGTACGTGCTTTTTGTCCGGAGGTTTTTAGGTTCCCCGCATTTTTTTGAAATTTCTGAATTTTTATATTAATATTCTTTGACAATATAAAAAATTGCTACCGAGGTAGAAGATATTTATTTGTTTGACACATTAATCACTATTATACACCTTATATGATTTTTACCCTGGATGCCATGGCTTTTGTTTTCTTTGATGAAATGTTTAGGTTACAGTTGTCGCCTATTCTCCGAAGTTGATGGGCAGCTATTTCGAGATTAACATCTGATTTGCTAAAAATTATCAGCTCCGCGAATAGCATTATGTTCAAAGGTTCATTATTTACTTTAAAATGGAACATTATATATTCTTCCCACTGTGTTATGACATACATACACGCACATATAAAAATAATTGGAGAAAGCGTACATCCCTGTTTCACACTAACACTTTAATCAAGTGTTCCGATGTATCCTTGTCCAAGTATATTATAGTTTCGGAATACATGTTTCGGATTAAATTTATAATGTGAATGGGTTTAATCGTATTAACGACCCTAATTTACTCCTGGAGACTATCAAAAGCTGTTTCGGTGTCTATAAAAAAGATGTATTCACGTCTTCATTCAATGATCAGTTGTTGAAATGCAAATGTACAATCTGAGCATGAGCGCCCATTATCGAATCCATTTTGTGTTTCTGACAAAAGCATCGCTCATTTTATTTAGCCTTCTTGTAATGATTTTAGCATAGATCTTGTCTGCGGTATTCATCGGAGATACCTCTGTAATTATTCCAGTAACATTTCTTCGTTTGAATGTTGGGTGGATTGTTGCCTTCTTCCGTTTATCTAGGATTTTATAAATATTCCAACAGGCATTTAGTATAGACAGGTACCTTATTTTAATCTCTTGAGGTCTATATTTAAATAATTCTATATTTAGTTCAATTCCAGGAGATCTCTTGTTTTTAAATGGGTGGAGCACCTCCTCCAGTTCCTGTATTCAATTGGGTCTACATGAGCAAACTCTCGTAGGCAGTTATCATCCTCTTCTTCTGTGTTTGATGACGATAATTCTCTATAATATTTTAGTCACTTTCTGACATATTATTAATGCGCGAAGTGTATTTTCTTCAGCATTTAAACGTTTTAAAATATCATATGCTCTATTTGGGTACATTATGTTGTTCCGTTCATGTATTTGTCCCAACTTCCCGTATTTAATTTTCTCACTTCACTTTTTACTACGACGGATTTTTGTTTGTAAGCTATTTAGTCCAGATCAGATTGGCTGTATAAACTATTGACTATATATCTTAAATAATATTTTTTGTCTTCGATTAATGTTTTTATTTCATTCTATATTTTTATTTTTTTCTTCCTTGTGCCCCTATACCTTTCATCTAGTACTTCACTAGCAGCTTTTGTCATAACTGTTTTCAAGTCTTCCCACTCTTTTTTTACATTTAAACTGATAACTGCATTATCCAAGTAGTCCAGTAAACGTTTGCAGTATAATTTCCTTATACGGTCTTATCGTTATAAATGCACTTTGAAAAAGTCTTTTTCAATACTGTTATGATTTGAAATATTTTTAATCCATTTGGCGGCAAAATTTATATTGCCGCTACCATGAGGTGATCGGAGAATAAGTCAAAGTTCAGTAGACTTGTATATCAGTTAATGGAGGGGCTAATTTAGAATTTACTAAAATATAATCAATTGTCGATTTGTCCCTCGGGACGCCCACGTGAATTTGTGTACATCCTTGTGTTTGATGATGTAAGCGATTTTTAATTCATTGTAGATCACAAAGTATATTATTGTTTTATCATTTTCGTTGAAGGTCCTTTCGCCATCACATCCTATTATTTTTTCTACGTACTGGTTCTCAATGTTTGCATTATTATCACCTGCTATGAAAAGGTAGCCTCTCTTGTTCAAAGAATTAAGATGTTTTTGCAGTATGTCATAGAAAGTTATGCTTTCTTCCACTTTCCTCCCTTCAGGCGCATATATCCCTAATATTGTCAGATAACCTCCAGTGGTTTTTAATTTTATGTGCATTATCCTTTCAGATATAAAGTTGTAGCTATGAATTTTATTTCTCCAAGTACGTTGTAGCACAAATGCTACACTAGCAGCTGCTCTTGTATTTTGTTGGACCCCACTATAAAAGTATAGTCTCCAAAATCAGTTGAGCCTTTCAGCTGTTTTTTTTAGTTTCTATTACTATAAATGTCTGCATAAAACCTGTTAATTTCCATCATTAATTGTGTCTGTTTCAAGCCTCTCATTCCAGGAGGCCATCTTCAACCGTTCCGCAATTCCAAATTATCATTATTCTTAGTAGTAGTCGCTTAATATTATAGGTCCGGCTATTCTCTTGATTATCGGTATTTTATGTTTCCACTCGTTGCGTCACGTGCGCCATGCACGGTAAGACTGGTGGTGAGGCTGCCACCTGACCGCCTGCAAACCAGCTGGGCAATTTACTCGAGTTGCTCACCCTAGATGCACTGCCTTCTTGCGGCAATGAGCTGCGTCTGCCCATTTGGCTAGTCAGTTCTTGCTCCCCTTCTATTACAGAATAAGAGGGGTTCTCCTTTGAGAGAGACAGGAGGGATTCCTTTGCACACAGGATATTTCTCTCGTCACGTGCAGTACCTTCGGTTAGGAGTGGGTTGGAAAAGTCTAAACGTCCACCTACCTATTAGTAAGAGAGATGAAATAAAAGATACATAGGAGAGATGAGAAAGAGTAAGAAGAGCTGAATAGAAATAAACGAATCCCTAGCCCTCGAAACCTAATGGCGGGGGTGAAAAAATCGACAGCAGCATGCGAATAGCAAACGTAGGAAAATAGAAGAGATGAGCTCGAAAGTGAAAAAGTCCACACGAAAGCGCCGATGAGGGTGTAGTAGCATACTGATGTATGCATTAAGGTGCGGAATAGGATGGGTCGAGAGACACCCGTTTCGTCGCCAACAGGTCTGTACAAGCCTTGGCGACCCTTATCTGTAGCAGCGCTATCGATCTCACAAACCATTTACATCTACCTGCCGAAGCAACTACTTCCATTAGAGCACATCAGACTTCCTCGCCCGCTCCGGTCAGTGCTTACATGGAAGGCGCGTCTCCTAGAGGAAGTGTTCCATAGCTTGCCCAAACAGGAAAATAGTAATAGTCGACAATTAATTAATTAAAAATTATATAATATAATATCACAAAAATAGAACATTCGGGGTATTCACAAATAAGAAAAAGAAGTTTATATCTAGATAACATTTTTCTATATATTATTATAATATATATATATATATCCTAATACACAATTATATATATCATATAATATATATAAGTATATATAGTATTATTATATATAATATTGATATAAATGTAATATAGGACGGTAAAACTCCGTTCACGTGTTATCGATCTCCAGAACATGGTGTCAATTCAAGTGTTTTTATTGAAGTTTTGCAATTAATTTTGTTGTAACTTGGACTTAATGCCTGGCAGAACAAAAATTCACTTCATTTCATCAATGATTCCATTCAAACGGCGATCACTTGATTTTACTGATGTGAGCGTGCCGAGGTGTCCAGGCGAGCGAGATAAGACGGATACGGAGAGACGAGAGTGAGGAGAGAAGGCAGAACGTCTTGCGGGTTTTCCCGGGGGTGTTCACAATGAAAATTAATTTATTTTGAAAAATCAAATTGCAATTTATATGCATTACCACGAATACATATTTATTCATTATACATCAGAAAGATAGTGGCCTTAAGCCACTGCTTATGGACCATATTTTCAAATCATGTTGCGTAAAGCCATGTCAGAGCGAGCAATATTCAACAGTTCACTTTGTCACTGAACCAGTCGCCAGTGAGATATCATCGAGCGACTTACTACTAAACGAAAGAGGCCGCGTCCAAAATTGGTTGTTGCCCCATTGCCTGCGCTTGGCGTGTCAGGTCGCTTGAATGACTAAAAGTTTTTCCACACACATGCATGAATCGGGCGCTCTCCTGTGCGTGCGCTTGTGCTGGCGAGGTCGCCTGCGTTTGTAAAATCCCTTTCCACACACAATCACATGAATACGGACGCTTACCAGTGCTCGCTCTGCCTGTGAGTGCGCTTGTCCTGATTAAAAGCCTTCCCGCACACACTGCACCATATGTCGTTCTCTGTGTGTATGCGCTTTTTGTTGAATGATGAGGTGCATTGAGCCGTGAAAACCTTCCCCACATACGTTCATGAATGAGGCTCCTTCCTCGTGTGCCTGCGTTTGTGGAGGGCAACGAATAGCTGCCTTTATCCAAGTGCTTTTCTGGCACGTCGCGTGGTTTGCTTACGCTCTCGCTCCTCTTGTGCCTGCGCTGGTTGAAGCACAGTGCTGCTATGAAAGCCTCCCGCACACGTCACACGGATGAGGCCTCTCCACCTTGTTCCGCCGCTTGTCAAGTGCGAGAGTCTTGAACCATTGGGCCTCTGCATCCAAGCGTGAGGCGCGAGTCCGCTGTCCGTGAAGATGCACCCAGACGCCGCGGCCGCAACGCTGCGTTCCGATGCGCGCTCTGCTGTCCTCGAGGGCACCTCGAAGAGGCAAGATGCGTCGCAGTCGCGCTTGCAAATGTGTCCGCATCCGTATCACGCACCGTAGGCACGCCTGCCACCTCCGCGCTGGGGGGCAGTGACGGGACGCTGAGCAGACCCCTCTGCATCGCCTGGCCCCTGTCTTGTTCCTGGTCCTCGTCCTGTGGCGGTGGATCTCGTCCTGTGACGTCCTCTGCGCCTGCGAACGGCCATAAAGAAATGTATGTACTCGTGAAACTCAACTGGAAAACATTATCGAAAGCAGTCCACAGTTTCATATTGAGAAGCCAATATTAAGGACAAGGAGAAAGAAATATTATAGTGTCAACAAATGGACTGTGGCAGAGCATAGTGAGTAAATGAGTACATTCATTCGTAAGTGAATGTCAGACAGTAAAGATATCCTGAAAAAAATGAAAAATGGATTACTGAAGCTCCATCCACAATACGTTTACTCCACTGGTGCTACATCACCTACTTTCTTGTATTTACAAATATTAAATTAATTAAAATCATATTAGTTATTCCCGCCTAACTGTTCCCAACGCGCCAACATATTTCCGTGGGTTGAATATTTCCTTTGCAGCAGGAATCTACACATTACGTTGTCAACCGGGAGTATCTGTAGACGTGAAGACGTTGAAGAACAACTCTCCTGGAAGCGACATATTCCGAAGAGAAACAGTTGCAACAGTGTAGACGATAAAAAAATTCAGAACATCTACTCTCCCTTCAAGACGACAAAGGAATGAAATAAACTTAGCTGGCAAAAAATTGAATGGTCGTCCAGTTTGGCGATAACGATCCCTAGCTCGCGTACGGCTACCCAATGTTTTCAGAAAACAGTGTGTCGTCCACGTACCGGAACCATAAGGTTGGTTTTAGAGGGACACCGTAGCTTCGTTTAACTGTTCACCAGTTAGGTTTACGTCAAGCCAACCCTACCGGCTTCAGGATGTTGTTTGGCCTTCAGTTTTCTTAGCCAGAGAAGACCGTTGGGCCACGAGGAGGGTAAAAGAAGCGGTGGAAATCATCAAACGCCCCTATAACGTGAATGCTGACCAAGGCATACGTCTACACGATGCCTGGAAACACCTGTTCTACCAGG